ATAAATGCAGCGGCAGTGCAGTACGTAGGCGGTGGGGAGCACAGCCCAACAGCTTGGAGAGCTGCAGGCAGCTGGTAAGTCTGTTGTGGTGGAAGGGGCATGGTGGGGGGCAGATCAAGGGGTTGGGGTAGGCACTGCCCAGCTGGGGTGGCAGGGCGCTCTGGCTTGTCTGGGGAGCTGTGGCTTGTCTGGGAAGTGGGGGGGTGGCTCCCGCCGCTGCGCGCGCCCTGTGAAAACACTGGGGGGGGGGGTGCCCCCCAGATCCGTGTACAGCAGGGCTGGCTGGCATTGCAGGCCTGGGCCAGGGCTGGGGCTGCACCAGGCTTTTCCTGGTAGGGGCCTGGCTGCACTTAGGTTGGGTGGCAGGCTGCGCTTGGGCTGGGTGGCAGCGGTGCTGGGAGTGGGGTTTGGTGGGGCTACGACAAATTTTGGGGTGGCTGCAGCCCCCGCCCCAGCACCGCTGCCCGCCCCGAGCCACTCCCCTTGCTCCCTCAGTGGGGGCCTTGCCCCCCCCACCACTTCCCTTCCTTCCCCCCTCCCCTTCCACCACAACATCCTTACCAGCTGCACACAGTTCTCCATGCTGTATGAGAAATTGGATCAGTATTGGCTGAGATGCCTCCTTAAAAATCAGGTATCGGTATTGGCCCCAAAAATCTCTGTTGGTGCACCCCTATCAGCAACAAAAATACCACATCATCAGAGACTGAATCCTCCTCCCCTACAATGCCTTTCATGGGGTTACACATTTAAAACCAGCCGTCCATCATCTACCTTGCGGAGTACCTCCTCAGTGGCCCGACACAACCCAAACTGGTACACGGTTGTACTCTGAAGTGTCCATATTCCGATGTGATGTGTATCTGAACAAAGAAGCAGAAGAGTTGGAGAGTATTGTAGGAGGTGGTCCCTGTGAGCTGGTTCCTGTGGCTTTTCTGAGTTGCCATATTGGCCTGACCCAGCAGAAAATTGGCCATTCAGATCATGTTTTTCTCAGCCACTCCGTACAGGATAGAGTAGGTAGATGCCATCTTGAAGAAGTCCAAATCCAGCATGCCAAAGAGAGGATGCGAAGGGTAGCAGAGAGTAGTCACAGCTGGGGAGAGTCCAGGAAGGCATGGAAGAGAAAGGGCAGACCAGTGGTGGACAAAGGTGCCTGTTGCTAGGGTCTCGTACAGCAGCTGCCACTGGATGTTGTCAGTTCTTTTGGTGATAGGTAACTTGTACGGGGTGTGCCAGGCTGGGTGGGCTTCTGCTGGTGTTTCTTACACAAGGCACCACGTCCAAGTCATGTCAGGGTGGATGTCGAGGACACAGACATGATGCACTTTGACTGTTCATGTGTACATGTTTGTGTGTACACGATCCTTTCCAAATAGGATCTCAAAGCAGGTCCCACCACTGTTCTCATTGGGCATGGGGAGGGGCAATAGGGTACTAGGCCCCTCACTCTCATCTCTTCCCCTGGCCACAGAACCAGGCATCAGTTAGGGGGAGGTGGGGGGAGGGTAGATTTATCTAGTGAGCTGCCATCTGGGAGTGCACCCACAGGAAGGGTAGCTTTCACTTTAGCCAAGAGGCATGAAGTAAAGTGGATGGAGTGCAGGCTCAGCTGGTCATCCAGGTCTTTTGCCAAGAGCCCTGTAGACCACATTGTCGAAGAAGTGAACAAGCTTGATGGTGTGCAGCTGGACGAAGGAAGTGATAAGTGAGCCTTCAGGAGGTGAGGCTCTGTTTTCCCTGCTGCAAGACCAAATTGTAGACCAGGGACTGCAGCAGCAGCTGTGGAAATCACAGCCACCTGCTCTGGGGTCTTAGTTGGAAGGAGGCCCAGTAGGCCCAGAGGTAGAAGGGTGGAAAGACATCTCAGCCAAGGCAATCAGGATTCAAAAGGAAACATTTTCAATTGAGTTTAAGATCTCCCACCTAATGCAGGAACTCAAAGGCCAGCCATCATTGGGGGAAGTGTTCACAGCAAAAAGCAGGCACTTGAAGGCTTGTAGGAGAAAGACCGCTACCTTGCTTGTCAGGGCAGTCAGGCCCTGACCCTTCTCAGTAGGCAGCTAGAGGACAGTCTACTGGAGTCAGTGGTACCCATTCCAAAACAAGTCCACAAGGAACTTCTCAAGCCTCTTAGTCACTGGAAGGTCCAGGATGTTTTCAACCTCCTCCCTGAGGCTTTCACAGTTCTTGGCTAGATTGACTGACACGTCTAGGAAAATGCCCAGGGCTTTGAAACCATTGCAGCACCAGGACAAACATCCAGGCAGATCTGGGGGCTGAGTGTTGGCTTAGATGCCCGGGAGAAACGTGTTGCTTTTAGTCCAGCTGATATGGGCTGAGGCAACACACTTGTGTGCCCAACTGGTGTTCGATCAGGGGCTGAACACCACTCTCAGTGCTCACAAAAACAGACACAATAATTGGCACATCATTGGCATATACTGTCACCTTAACTGGGGGGTGCCAGCAGCCATGGAAGCAGGCAGTGGGAGGGCCAGGCCTGTCAGGCATTGCTACAGTATGTGGCATAGTGGCTCAATGGTCAGGGAATAGAGCATTCTGGAAAGGGGGCAGCAACGCTAAATGCTCCTGTGTGCTGTAAACAGGGCACATGGTGCTCCATACACCTTCAGGAGTTTAGAGATGTCTCAGTACAGGAGTCAGATGGTTGAGGTGAAGGGGAGCCCAAAGCTGAAGGCTTATAGAGGCTGGAATAAGAAGTTGTGGTTAACCTGATCAAAGACTTTCTCTTGATCAGGGAAGACTAGGCCAGTGCTCAGGCTGTGGGGTTCTGCAGCTGTCTTCAGGTCATGTATCAGAAACAGGTTGTCCTGGACGGCTCTGCCACATTTGTTTGTGACCTGTGATGATGATCATTACCATTTTGAGCTAATTGGCTAGGGTTCTGTAATCAGCACACAGCTGCTATACCAGTCACCAGCTCTTAATGTCACCAAGACCCCCTTTGTTTGACAGCAGTATGAGGGCTGCTTACTAGCAGCTAACTGGTAGAATCCCATCTTTGAGGCTGTTCTGAAAAATGTGAAGGAGGTCTGGGCCAAGAAGGGGCCAGAATGTCTTGTAGAATTTGATGGATAATCCATCAAGGCCTGGCACCTTCCCTATGGTGACACCCTCAACAGCAGTAATCAGCTCTACTAAATATAGCTCTCGTCTGAGCTCCTCAGCTTCAGAGATGAAGAGCTCGTGGAGGCCCTTGTGCAGGTGTTGAATGGCATCTGGGCAGGCTTGGCTTGGCTGCAAACAGCTCCATGTAGAATCAAACATCATGCTGTCAGATCTTGGTAGGATCCATGAGCACTTGGTCTGGGGCACTTGGGATATTAAGGTAGTCTATGATCTTCTGTTCTGCACACCTTTTTCTCTGAGTTGAAAAAGAACTGGGTCAGCTTCTATAAGTTCTTGGAAGCAGGCCTGAATTCTTCTGCCCTGGGGTGCACCCTTTGCCAATTCTCTCAAGTGTTTTTCTGGAGCTTGAGGTTCTTGTACATCCCACGGCCATTACTGGTACCCTTAGGGCAGCCTCAGGCTCCATAATGTTTTTCTCATGCTCTTGCACACTGCAGTGGTGGTCTTGGGTCATCTGTTGTTTATATTTTTGCCAGAAAAACTTGATTTGTTCTTTTCCTATTTTCTATCACT